GCATGATCTTCATTAAGCTAAAATTGTTTTGGTGACTATAGTGTCCCTTTAATGTTGGTGTTCATTCAAAGGGCACTTACAGTTGTGCTCAAAAGTTTGCATACCCTTGGAGAATTGGTAATATATGTACCATTTTTAAAGAAAACATAAATGAGCAGGCAAAACAGATTAAAAAAATATGTTTTATTACTATTATTTTTTTTAATTTATTTTTTTAAATCGGATTCATATTCAACTGTAGATTATAACAGAATGGCACAATCATTAAACAAAATATGGCAACAAAGAAAAAAAATGAAATGACCCCTGTGCAAAAGTCTGCATACCCATATTTCTTAAAGGACCACTATAGTGCCAGGAAAACAGTGCAAAAGTCTGCACAACCCATATTTCTTAAAGGACCACTATAGTGCCAGGAAAACAAACTTGTTTTCCTGGCACTAAAGGGTCTTTAGGTCCCCCCCACGCTGGGCTGGAGGGGTTAAACACTTACCTTTCTCCAGCGCCAGGCTCCCTCGGCGCTGGGGAACGCTCCTCCCTCTGCCAACATCAGAGTGGAATGCGCATGTTTAAAGCTGCAGGGTTAACACTAGATGGACCTGGCACCCAGACTACTTCATTGAGCTGAAGTGATCCTTTAACCCCTTAAGGACACATGACGTGTGACATGTCATGATTCCCTTTGACAGTGTGCAGACTTTTGTAATAGTTTTCTATGAGGGCCCCTAATTCTTGCAGCTGGTATAGCTGCCCATTCGTCTTGGCAAAATGCCTCCAGGTCATGTAAAGTCTTTGGTCGTCTTGCATGAGCCGCACGTTTAAGATCTCTTCAGAGATATTAAGGTCAGGAGACTGTGATGGCCACTCCAGAACTTCACCTTTTTCTGTTGTAACCACTGGAGGATCAACCTGTCCTTGTGCTTAGGGTCATTGTCATGCTGGAAAGTCCAAGAGCGTCCCATGCAAAGCCTTCGTGCAGAGGAATGCAAATTGTCTGTATTTTCTGATAACGTGCTGCATTCATCTTGCCATCAATTTTCACAAGATTCCCCGTGTCTTTAGAGCTCACACAACCCCAAATCATCAGTGAGCCATGCTTCACAGTAGTGATGGTATTCTTCTCACAATAGGCCTTGTTGGTTGTGGTCTTGTCCCTCAGTGTGCCAGAAGCTGTGAGGTGTGTCAAGGTGTTGTCGGGCACATTGTTACTGGACTTTTTTGTGGGATTGGCGCAGTAAAGGCTTCTTTCTGGCAACTCGACCTTGCAGCTAATTTTTGTTCAAGTATTGTCGTATTGTGCTCCTTGAAACAACTACATCTACGTCTTTTTCCAGAACAGCTTGTATTTCTCCTGAGGTTACCTGTGGTTTTTTGTTTGTATCCTGAACAATTCTTCTGGCAGTTGTGGCTGAAATCTTTCTTGGTCTACTTTCTTGGTCTACGTTCTTAGTATCAAGAGATCCCCGAATTTCTCACCTCTTAATAAGTGAGTGAACAGTATTGACTGGCATTTTCAAAGTTTTGGATATCTTTTTATATCCTTTTCTATCTTTATAAACTCCTATTACATTGTTACACAGGTCTATTGACAGTTCCTTTCTGCTCCCCATGGCTCAGTATCTAGCCTGCTCAGTGCATCCACGTGAGACTTAACAAACTCATTGACTATTTATACACAGACACTAATTGCAATTCAAAAAGCCACAGATGTGGGAAATTAACATTTAATGGCCATTTTAACCTGTGTATGACACTTTGTGTCTCTGTAACAACATTCAAGGGTATGTAAACTTTTGATTAGGGCCATTTGGGTGATTTCTGTTATCACTTTGATTTAAAAAAGGAATCAATCAACTATGTGATAACACATGGCTTCATATGATCACTATCCTTCAATAAAATAAATTTTTTGCACGATCAGTCATATTTTCAAAATCAGTGCCAAAATTTCACAATTTCTGCCAGGGTATGCAAAATTTCAATCACAACTGTAGGTCAAATAAGAAGCTCCTTGCATGAGAAATTAATAAGAAAAATGATATATGATGTCAAACATATGCACATGCTCGCTAATTCTTCCATGCAAGTCAATGAGAGGCCAGGGATTGAATATAATATTTTAGCCAGTTCCTGTTTGATATCTAGGAATCAAAAGCGGTAGTAGATCTCTTGGAAAAATGTGAAAAAAAAAATAAAATCAAAGGGTAGATATCACTTAAATAATTTTAAGAGATTTTTTTTTTTTTTTAAATGCATTATTGACAGAATTATAATGAGCACCGGTAATTCTATCCAGGAAAGTCCCTTTAAGTATTTGCTGTTGCAGCAACCAATGGCATGTCAAAGTAAAGGGATACTATAGTGCCAGGAATCCCACCTCCCTCGTGCTCTCCCCTTTCCGGTGAATAAAGGGTTAAAAAAACCTTAATATTTTTTTACCTTAACCCAGCGCTGATGTCCCTTGGCACTGGGTCGACCCTCCGCCTATTCTGACTTCCCGCAATGAGCTGGTGCTAATGTGCAATGTGCATGCGTGGCAAATGCCTCCCCATAGGAAAGGATGAATCAATGGTGGGGAATAATCTGACGCTGGACGTCTTCATGCAGAACGTGAGAACTTCCAGTGTCAGATACTGGACTAAAGGTCCGTTTCGATCCACAAAGCGCTCCCAGTGGCTATCTGGTAGACAGCCACTGGAGGCAGGCTTAGTGCTACAATGTAAACATTGCAGTTTCTCTGGAACTGCAATATTTTACATTGCAGCACTAAGTGCAAAAGGGACACTGCACCTAGACCACTTCAAAATGCTGAAGTGGCCTTGGTGCCTATAGTGTCCCTTTAATCTATAATGTAAGCTCACTGAGCAGGGCACTACTCTCTATTCCTGTGCGTCCAACTTGTCTGGTTACAATTAGGTGTGTCTGTTAGTCCACCCATTATACACCTCTGGGAGTTTGCTGGTACTTTATAAATTCAGCATTTGTGGCAGTCCTTACAGGATGTGAATATTAAGCTACTAGTTATGGTGACTACTGTGAAAATACAATAGGCCAACAGGTAAGGTCCCAAATTCTGAATTACTGTATAAAGTGAAAGAATGGCCAGAGAATAATCTCAGATACGTTCAGTCAATAAATATTTCAAAGCTTATAAAAAAAAAAAAAAAAATACCAAAAACGTAGTACATAGAAGGGCAGCTATAAATGAGCTGATCTGGGTCTCACCACTCTCTTGCTTGAAGAAGGCTCTGTAGCAGAGTCGAAACGTCGCTTCAATAAAGTCTTCTCACTTTACATAATCAGTGTACTGGAATTTTATTAATATACGAACCAACACACACACACACACACAAAACATCTTTTCAGGGAATTTGGACAATAAAAGCAGATGTCACTGCAGCTTACAAAGTAATTATATATTTTTTTCTGTGTAATAAAGAAAACTTTTATATCATACTCACCAGTCCAAAGAGTCAACTTTTCGCGAACTACTTCCTGGGAGTTGGAGTCCTCAGCCAGCACTATTGATGTATATGCATATGGTAAAACAGATCCCAGGCAGATGTTGTATTTTAAGGCTTCACAAGTTGTGCTCTTCTTACATCGATCCAGATAGATGGTCTCATTGAACTGAGTCCTTCCTGTCCCAAGGACACAGAAAAAGAAACACAACTTCACAAGCCAGCTGCTCCAAGGCTCCAGGGAAGACATCTTAACAAGGAGGGATGGAGAAGGCCTCAGCCAAGTACACAGTGCTAAGAGGGCATCAAACTCACTCCTTGTAACACTCAGGCTGCTCCTAGCTCTCTGTGCTTCTTCTCATTGCCCTCCTCCATTTTACTTGATGATTCCTCTAGTTTCAGGCACTTTTAGTTTCCTCTATTTCTCGATGCCCCAAATCCTTTTCCCAACAAAGACCCCCTCCTCCTCCTCCAAGTACCCACCCACACAAATCACAGTCCGGTCTAACATATGCACGCAACTTGTTTGGGTTTTAAGTTAAACCAGCTCACTGCTGTCCCTAACAAAAACTTTCATGGAAGGGATTTGAAGAGAGGGAGAGAGGAGTGTAAGAATGTAATCTGATCCAGGCTCTGCTGGCTCCTCCACCCCCACCTCTCACTGTCTCCCAGTTTTTGCATCTCACTTTAATTCACACTTGGAAAACTAACTTCTTTATTTGTCCCCTCTCTGCTTGGGCACAAAGAGGTCTCCTTATGTTCTCTGTATTATCTCCTGCAGTAATAAAACACAAACTAAAATGCTGCATAAATCGTCCTGCTACAACTCCCAATGGCGACCACCATGTTCCTCCTCTCTGCCAGTAACAATGTTTCCTTCTTTACCCCGGGACACAAACATACATGTGCTGCTTGCAGAAAAGAAAGGTCTAGTCAGAATATCGAATTCTCCTCACTCTATCCCTCAGCATAACGATTAGAACACAGATGGAAGTTAAGTACTTTCTTCTGTGTGAACTTTGTAGCCCAGATGCGTATATACTTATTTCCAAAGTCTGGGAATCACGTCCTCAATCTGTTTGGGTCAGCAGAGTTTTCTTGGTTGTTTTTCAGTATCCAGTATCCCAGGATGAATTTTTTTTTTCTATGATCGCTCCCAATCTTTTCTTCTTAAATACTATAACGTGGAGGTTGTGCGGGCTGCAAAAAATTAGAGAAGTGGGTGCAGATATTTGGCTTTAAAATATAAAATCCGTCTTGTACACTATTTTCCTCTTTGTGAACAGAAGCAATGCAGTCCTAATGGATGATTTGTAGTGAACAATCAAAAGCAATATTTAGAATTCTGCAAGGAGAACAGAGCAGGAATGTGGCTTCTGAAAGAGGCAGGCAAAAAAAAAAAAGTTTCCCAGTTTCCCCTCCCCCCCAAAAAAAGCCAAGACAAGGAGAAACATGCTGATTGGCAGAACAATATGCTGATCTCACACTACATCATATCTCCCTGCCATCCTCAACCATGGGATCCTCAGCTTCCCTTCCTGACCAATGAGGAAATCACCCACAGCAATGGCAGGCACCCTTTATTTACCCAGTGGCTGTTCTCTTAGCTTGTGATGTTATTACATGGCCTCAGACTATAATTATTTTCTCTTAGAAGCAGGGTTATTAAAAATTGAAAAACAAATCCAATTAAAAGAAAGTTGTAGTGTTTACAGATAATCTAGTTTATTCCCTACACAGTAAACAGACAAATGACTGGCAAATGTTTACAGCCAATAAATAGCAAAAATCCTTCCAAGAATGTTTATTAACCCCTTCATTGCAAGGGCTATTTTATACCATGACCTCTAGATCATTTTTTTCCATTTGTCTTCAATTGTTGGTTAATTTCATTCCCTCTGTCATCCACATTTCTTCGTGCTCGACTGTGATTTAGATGGCAAATACTTACCTAATATGTCTCAAAAGTTGTTTTATAAACAACATGATTTTCACCTGACAAGATATTATCTAGGTAGGCCACCTGTTGAAGGAATATCAACCAGGGTATCCAGGGACTGGTTGTCAGAGGAGGTAAGTGCGCAATGCGTTGGTTCCCTTGGCATGTTGGCCAGAAAAAAAAGTTATTTATCTTTAAAATGTAAGCTCGTAGCCCCCCCACCTGTTGGAGATGTGGCGTAGCAGAGGGAGACATCCTCCATATATGGCGGAACTGCCCATCTATTAGACAATTTTGGTCCTCTGTCCACGAACTCCTTGAAACCGTGACCAACCTCAACCTAGCTTTCAATCCTCAGACCTATGTGGCCTTACTTCTCCCGAGAGGGATACCCAGGGCCAAACGGAAACTCCTCTATCATATACTTCTGTCAGCTCAGAAATCGATTGCAAGGACATGGAAATCCACACAATGCCCAACCTTATCTAGACTGCTCTCAGATATAGATGACCAAAGAGCATACGAAAGAGCGTATAGCAAACTATGGCCCCCATCTCGGAAAACCGAACTAGCTTGGGAGGTATGGGACACATGGAGATCGGTACACTGGGTACACAAAAGTTGTAAATTGACGTTGAGGCTCGATATGACAATGTAACATATACTATGCTAACATACAACTGAAACCAATCACAAGGCGTTGTACTGTGCCTGTTGACTCTGTGATGCTGCATTACTCTGTACTATTCTTTCTGTACCCCCCTTGCTGTTTTGTTGATTTGAAAAAGAAAAACTGATAATAAAAATTGTCAAATTTAAAAAAAAAATGTAAGCTGATTTGAGCTGTGCGTCCAGCTGGTCTTGTGGCAAGTACTTGTATGTTAGTCCACCTTTTCTACAGCGCTGCAAAATGTGTTACCGCTTAATAATAATATTTTGCACTCTCACAGATACCCTGTCACTTAGACTTCTTCCTCATGGTGGCAATTACCTGATGCACCAGTTGAAGTACAATAAAATAAAATTTGGATGTAGCTTAATCAAATTTATGTAATTTTTGTCACAGGACAATATAAAAGTATGTTTTAGCAACACAGTGCAAGCTTACCCCAAGCTTTATTACAAGGACCCTCCCATCACCATAACCACGACAACACACCGTAGTGGTTATAGTGTCAGGGTAAATAGTCAAACCTTTTGCAAACAGTTTGACAACTTAACTGGGGTCCACCAGACGCTAGTCATAGCAACAGCCGGTAATCGTGTATACATGAGTTTTAGCATTGCAAACCACCAGGTTTTCTGTGGAATAGTGCCACTCCCTAAGCACCTCCCTCCTTATTTGCTGTAGGAACTCAATGGAACCTCTATATGTCCATAACATCCCCAACAGTTGTGTGCTTAGTTCAGATCTGCAAGGGAGCAGGTTGAAAACCAGTTGTCATGTCATATGTGGGCTAAAAAGAGAGAAAAAAAGGGGGGAGTGGTAGTGAGGTAAAGAGACAAAGTAAAGTTACATCAGGGAGAATTTATATACAAAATATAACAGACACCTGATTGGATGATAAAGACCAGTCTCCTCTACCCGCTCCTGTATATCCAAATAAGCAGTACGAGTCTGTCACACAGGGTACTAGGCTGCCCACAGAAACCTTACTTTGTATAACTTAGAATAGCTACCGCCCGCGCTCAGCTCACGTAACAGAGGCGTACAGTAGGAATATATATAACAATAGTATAATAATTGAGGAGAGCCCCTAGATGCACCATTTACAACAGCAAAATACAATCAAATATCCTGGGAAGATAGCCCAACCCAGCAGTGAGACACCGGCACAAACATGAACCCTGAACCTGAGACATTAGTAATATGACAGGAGGGAAACTCCCCTATGGCTCCCCCAGCAGGCATTCCCGCACCAGGCCCCCCACCCCAGCACCTGTCAGGTACAGGGCAGCAGTTGTCACCAGTCAGTTCTCCTATCAAATTTCCTATCCTCCTCATCACGGACGACCCTGTCCCAGATGGGTCCTGGGCCAAGATGAGACTATACAGGGAGTGCATAATTATTAGGCAAGTTGTATTTTTGAGGATTAATTTTATTATTGAACAACAACCATGTTCTCAATGAACCCAAAAAACTCATTAATATCAAAGCTGAATATTTTTGGAAGTAGTTTTTAGTTTGTTTTTAGTTTTAGCTATGTTAGGGGGATATCTGTGTGTGCAGGTGACTATTACTGTGCATAATTATTAGGCAACTTAACAAAAAACAAATATATACCCATTTCAATTATTTATTATTACCAGTGAAACCAATATAACATCTCAACATTCACAAATATACATTTCTGACATACAAAAACAAATCAGTGACCAATATAGCCACCTTTCTTTGCAAGGACACTCAAAAGCCTGCCATCCATGGATTCTGTCAGTGTTTTGATCTGTTCACCATCAACATTGCGTGCAGCAGCAACCACAGCCTCCCAGACACTGTTCAGAGAGGTGTACTGTTTTCCCTCCTTGTAAATCTCACATTTGATGATGGCAGGTTCTCAATGGGGTTCAGATCAGGTGAACAAGGAGGCCATGTCATTAGATTTTCTTCTTTTATACCCTTTCTTGCCAGCCACGCTGTGGAGTACTTGGACGCGTGTGATGGAGCATTGTCCTGCATGAAAATCATGTTTTTCTGAAGGATGCAGACTTCTTCCTGACCACTGCTGAAGAAGGTGTCTTCCAGGAACTGGCAGTAGGACTGGGAGTTGAGCTTGACTCCATCCTCAACCCGAAAAGGCCCCACAAATCTTTGATGATACCAGCCCAAACCAGTGCTGGCGCCTGAGTCGGACTGGAGCTCTCTGCCCTTTACCAATCCAGCCACGGGCCCATCCATCTGGCCCATCAAGACTCACTCTCATTCCATCAGTCCATAAAACCTTAGAAAAATCAGTCTTGAGATATTTCTTGGCCCAGTCTTGACGTTTCAGCTTGTGTGTCTTGTTCAGTGGTGGTCGCCTTTCAGCCTTTCTTACCTTGGCCATGTCTCTGAGTATTGCACACCTTGTGCTTTTGGGCACTCCAGTGATGTTGCAGCTCTGAAATATGGCCAAACTGGTGGCAAGTGGCATCGTAGCAGCTGCACGCTTGACTTTTCTCAGTTCATGGGCAGTTATTTTGCGCCTTGGTTTTTCCACACACTTCTTGCGACCCTGTTGACTATTTTGAATGAAACGCTTGATTGTTCGATGATCACGCTTCAGAAGTTTTGCAATTTTAAGAGTGCTGCATCCCTCTGCAAGATATCTCACTATTTTGACTTTTCTGAGCCTGTCAAGTCCTTCTTTTGACCCATTTTGCCAAAGGAAAGGAAGTTGCCTAATAATTATGCACACCTGATATAGGGTGTTGATGTCATTAGACCACACCCCTTCTCACTACAGAGATGCACATCATCTAATATGCTTAATTGGTAGTAGGCTTCGAGCCTATACAGCTTGGAGTAAGACAACATGCATAAAGAGGATGATGTGGTCAAAATACTCATTTGCCTAATAATTCTGCACTCCCTGTATGTCAAGGGGCCCACACAGAAACCCTACTTATTCCACACTGCAAAAGCGGCCTCTGTCCCAGCCATGTCATCATGTCTCCATTGCTGAAAAGCCTCAGTACAGTCAGGTGTTTCATATTTAAGAGTCCACCATCCTGGTGCCAGGTAGGACTACGTAATCCCCAAGGGTGGAACCATCATGCAAACAGTAAACCCTGTGATAGCCTAGTCAGTTTCCTTGAGGCCACTACATATACATGCCTACTATTGGTGTCTAAGCCTTGCTCCCCATCAACATCAGCTATCCTTGTAGACTGACATAATGACCACTAATCCGACCACTAACCCGATCTGACATAACCCCAAAGGGGGAACGGCATGATGTAGTGAAATACATCATGCCGGTTCCAATACCCCAACCTCCACCTTAAATGCGGACCACCATCACCCGATTCGAGATCATCCACCATCTCTGGTGTCAGTACACGGGCAATATTCAGAGTGAGAAACTCCAAAACCATACACCGATGCTGCTGAGAAGCTTTACCTTGGTGTAAATGTGCAAGATTATAAAACTCACTATTGAAGGATTAAAATGCCTGCAAAATTTCAGCGGGGTATCTGGTCTCCCTCTATCCCTGAGATTTAATCTCATGAACATGGCGCAATCTCCATTTTTTCTGCAGCATCCTTGCCAAAAGTCTTGACATTTTAAAATAAAATAGCAATCCTCTCTATCTACTATTTTAGATACTAGTGAAAAGTTATGACAGCAGTCACCATCACTGGGTCCATATGAACTCTGCCCCCTCTGGCAGCTATTTTAGGAACTGTTGGTCTCGTGGGCTGGCATTATGTGTGACTGGGTGTGCTCTTGGTTTCACTTATTATAAGTGCAGTGTTGTTTTTATTATTATTATTTGTTAAATGTCTTGTGTGCTCTCCTGTCCTGCTGATGCTCTCTACCAACTTGCTTGATTTGGCTGTGTATTATGTGCATTGCCACTTGTTAACAATATTGCAAGCCTGCACTGCACCATCTG